ATTTTTAAAAAATGTATTTTGGAATAATAAATTGATGAATAATGTGTGGTTGAAAAAGAAGGAATGGTTATTGATGTGATGAAAAATATTATTTTATTGAAAAATGTGTGGTTGAAAATGAGTAGAAGAATTATAATGAAAATTTTAATGGGTACCAAACAGGGCCCAAGTATAACATTCTTCCTTGAGCTCCTCCTTCATCAATTTCCCCAATTTGCTTCTAAGTTTCTCTTAGTTTTGCTTTTGTACTCCCCCTCCCCCCTCTCTTTTTTTTTTTTCCTATCAAAGTCTCCAAAAACATCTTCTCAAAATTATGATAGCAAAAATGGTATTTGTAGGTTTGAATTGTAGCTCTAAAGTTTTGTGTCTTTGAAGTTCCAAAAATACCCACATGGACAAAAGGAAATTACTTGGGAAAAAAGTTCCTCTTAATTCCAATTTTGACCTTGCTTTTCCAGTTTTTATTACTTGAATTTTCTAGAGCACCCCAAACATGCCTTTTTTTTTTCTCTTGTCAAGTTTGCTATAGCTGGGGGTCTCGACTCTTTGACTTTGCTTCAAATATCCAACTTCTTGTTTTATTTTCTATTTTCATCAATATAGCTCCCTTTCGGGAATGAAGCCTAAAACATGAAAATGAACTCAAATAAATAATAATAAGCACAAAATTCGTGTAAGAGTATTAAGGGTAAGAATAACATTTTTCATTAAGGGTGCATTTGATTACCAATACTTTCTACTCAAATTCCTACTTTTGTGCTTTTTGATTGACATTTTTCCCATGAAATACATTTTCATACTTTTGGTCACGTGATCATATTTTTCTCAAAATCAAGGAAAAATATTTTCTTTAGAGAAACATAATTTTATTTTTTAGGGAATTCACGTTCTCTTTCCCTCTCTTATCTGTCCCCTCTCTCATTTACTTACCAATAAAAAATGGACAAGTATAATATTTTCTAAGTAGAAAACTAAATCAATTAAATACATTTAATTAATAATTTCCATTCTTTCCATGCAATTCTATGCTCGCAATCAAATGCACCCTTAAGGCTCTGTTTGATGCACATTATTGAGTGGAGAATGCATTTTAAATAATGATTTAATGAGAAATATGTGGTTAAAACATAAGAATTTTTTTTTTGAATTTACGTGTAATATTATTTTATTGAAAAATGTATGGTTGAAAATGAGTTTTGAAAAAATGAATTTTTTAAGAATGTGGATAAAACAGGGTGTAAGCATCATGATGGTATAAAAAGGCGGTAGTGAGGCCCGCCTCACTGTGAGGCGCATGTAGTATGCCTTGGGGCGATATTTTTTAGGCTAAAAATA